CCTATGTTTTGTTGGCCCACTGAGCTACAAACAGCTCACCCTTATGCTCTCAGTCCAGGTTCACCTCAGCTACTTCAATTTTGACAGCCTTGTCTACCTGTTCACTGTTCTGATGTTCTTCAGTGGCATGGCTTTTGGGCATGTGACCATCTACATGACATACCTTTAGAGCAATGTTTTCTACCCCGGCAGTGATGTCCTGCTACAACGCAGCAGCCCAGATGGGTTCACTCCTGTGCTGCCAATTGGTCTTCTTCCACTGCTGTAGCTACCCCCATAGGGCATTAGCCACCATCCAGGATTAAGTATAAAGACAGAGTACAGGCCACTTTTCTCATTCAGCAATCTCTAGGGCTAGTTGGATAGCTTTCACTTCTGCACACTAACTTGACTCACCTTCTCCTTCAGTGGCTTCAACAACTTGTGTGGGACTCCACACAGCAGCTTTCCACTTCTCATGGTTCCTACAACACAACACAATCCATCAGTAAACAAAGCAAAACAGTAAACAAACAAATCTTCTGATAACTCGTTATATGGTGGTGCCTCTTGGGCACAAGCCACCTCCTTAGGCGATGCTCCAAAGTCTCTGCCATCTGGCCAGTCCATGCTCTCTTTCAGGATTCCTTGGTGATTGGGTTTCCCCAGTCAAGCTCATTGCATGATCAACGCTACCCACTTACTCCATGTAGTGCTGGCTGCATGATGTGTAGAGGGGCTGTTTCCTTTGAACATCCAGTATAGCATGGGTAATTGTGGTGCCAAGAGGAGATATGCTTCTGTACCAACAACTTCTGAAGCAACTTGAGCCCCCTCATATGCTGCTGGTATCTCTTTTTCAGTCGGGGTGTAGTGGGCTTCTGATCCTCAATACTCCTGCCTCCAAACCCCTAATGGTCAACCTTGAATTTCTGATGATGTTTTCTGCCAGAGGCTCCAGGTTAGACCATGCTCCCCAGCTGCAGTGTGGAGTACATTTTGCACAGCTGGTCCTGTCTGGACAGGCCCAAGAGCTACTGTACAAGCTCTCTCTTGTTTGATATGCTCAAAGGCTTATTGTTGCTCAAGGCCCCACTCAAAATAGTTCTTTCGGGTTACTTGATAGAGTAATGCAAGCTGACTATAACCTGGAATATGCATTCTCCAGAATCCCACAAGGCCTAGGAAAGCTAGTGTTTCCTTCTTGTTAGCTGGTGGACACATAGTTGCTATCTTGTTGATCACATGCATATGGACATAAGGGTGTCCATCCTGCCATTTTATTCCCAAGAACTGAATCTCGTGTGTAGGTCCCTTGATCTTGCTTCTTTTTGTGGCAAAACCAGCTTTCAGAAGAATCTGAATTACTCTTTTTCCCTTCTCAAACATTCTTTGGCCTTGTTGCCCCACACGATGACATCATCAATGTACTGTAGATGTTCAGGGGCATCACCCTTTTCCAGTGCAGTTTTGATTAGTCCATGACAAATGGTAGGCCTGTGCTTCCACCCCTGGGGCAGTCAATTCCAGGTGTATTGAACACCCCTCCATGTGAAAGCAAACTGTGGCCTGCATTCTGCTGCCAAAGGAATTGAAAAAAATGCGTTGGCAATGTCAATTGTAGCATACCACTTAGCTGCTTTTGACTCCAGTTCATATTGGAGTTCAAATGTGTCTGGTACAGCAGCACTAAGTGGTGGAGTGACTTTGTTCAGGCCACAATAGTCTACTGTTAACCTCCACCATCCGTCAGACTTTTGCACTGGCTCTATGGGACTATTAAAAGGTGAGTGAGTCTTGCTGATCATTCCTTGGCTCTCCAGTTGATGAATCAGCTCATGGATGGAAGCCAGGGAGTCTCAGCTGGTGAGATATTGCCGCTGGTGCACTGTCCTGGCAGCAACTGGCACCTGCTGTTCTTCAAGTCACAGCAATCCTACAATGAAAGGATCTTCCGAGAGGCCAGGCAGGGTAGATAGCTGTTTGATCTTCTCTGTGTTCACAATGGCTACACCAAAATCCCATTGGTACCCTTTTGGGTCCTTGAAGTACCCTCTCCTGAGGTAGTCTATGGCAAGGATACAAGGGGCCTCTGGGCTGGTCACAATGGTGTGCTTTTGCCACTTGTCCCATTAAGCTCACCTCAGTCTCCAATACAGACAATTTTTGGCATCTCCCTGTGAGTTCAGAGATCCCAATGGGTCCTGTGGCCCTATACGCTGATGGCACCAGCATATACTGTGCACCAGTGTCTACCAAAGCCTTATACTTCTGTGGGTCTGATGTGCCAGGCCATCAAATCCACAGACTCCAGTAAACCTGGTCATCCCTTTCCACCTCCTGGCCAGAGGCAGGGACCCCCTATTCCTGTTCCTGGTCAGAGTATTCACTGTCTGACCCTTTCAGTGCCAGACCAGAAGACCCCTCACCAGGATCAAAGGAAGCGATTTCAGTCCTTCTATGTCTGGGAGATCACCGATTGCCGCCTTTTGTCTCTATAGCAACTATGCTGACAGTCTTTGTGGGTGACCCCTTCTTAACAGCTGTCTTCCCTCTCAGTTCATGTACATGGGCTTGCAGCTTAAAGGTGGGTTCACCACCCCACTTCCTCATGACCTCCCACTGGTCACGCAGGAAGAACCAGAGTGCACCACATGGCACGCTGTGCAATTGCTCACCGCCCGCAACCTGACGCTCTGCCACTTCCCCTACTGTAATACCACCTCCACCCCCAGTCCCAGTTATATACTGAGCATGACATCACATGGTGTGGAATATCTCCTTGGCTAGTTCGGGTCAGCTGTCCTGGCTGTGCCCCCTCCCAGCTTCCTGTGAAAATTAACTCTATCCCAACCAAACCCAGGACACCCTCTGACCGGGGCAGGAGAGGACTGACTTCTTGGGGTGTCCGTGACAGCCAAGGCACTGGCCCATAGGGATGAGGAGAGACAGAGATTTTCTTCAAAGTTTCAGAGCCAAGAAGACACTCTCTCCACAGTTGGTGTATCCATATCCAGGCAAATCATTGCCAAGCTGTTAGAATATGATGCAGGTGCACTTTGAATTGCCTTCCTCCACATGGCCCATGTGCACAGGACATCCTCTGGATCTTTGGAGACCTGCTCATTGTCTAGATTACTGTAGATTACTGTAGATGCACCGCTAATTCTCTCAGGTACTGGATGCCTTCGTCTGTGGTAGTCCACTTTCCTGGGGAGTTCACAAGATCTTCCTTGAATGGATCTCTTGCCCTCACACTTGAGAGGAGCCATCTCCAGAGACTGCAAATTGCTGCTGCTTTTCCAATTCCTCTCTCAATTCCCTGGTTTCTAGCAAGGGATTCCAGCTGTTGGGCTTCCTTACCTTCTGATTGCTGACTGTCGGTCCCGTTATCCCAGCATTGGAGCAGCCAAGCAGCAATCCACTGACCTGGCTGGCAGCTGTAATCTTTCTGCCTGTCCCAAAGTTCTGATGAGGTCAGAGACCAGGTAGTTTCTGCTTCGTGTCTGAATTCTCTCACTTCTTCCTCCAATTTCTTTGCCAGAGGACCAACTTCTTGATCAAGCCCTTCCTCTTCTTCCTCCTCTCTTACTAATTGATGATATGGACCCAGTGACCTCCTTGTCCACTTTTTCACTACTGGGCAATTTAGTTGTTGTTGTTTGGGTCCCTATCTCTACTATCATGTCCTCCGATGTAGTTTGCACCCTCATCTCAGTCAAGGTATTCCAAGGTAGCTTGGGTCCCTATCTTAACCACAGTGCTCTGACAGTATTGAACTCTGTCTCAGTAGGCACAGGCCAAGTCCCAGTACAGTGCTGGAAGCTGCTGGTTTTCATTGGGGTAGGCAAGGCACCCCTCTAACAGGTGGCACATGAGTTTGCCAGGGTTGCTTGCCTGTTCAGGTGTAAAGTCCCAGGCTATGGGAGGTGACAACTGCCCTAGGCACCTGCCCAAATCCTTCCACACACCCTGCCACCCAGGGACTGGCCGCCTCAGGGCACATTTCAGTATTGCCTCACCTAAAAGTTGTCTTCTCTTACACCAGGATGACACCAGATTCCACAAACCCCATAATATGCCAATAATGTTAATTAGTAGTATTAAACAGCTCACACAAGGGTGAGCAAGGACCTTAGGAGCCTGCATAATAAAACCACCTACATTGGGCCTAGGTAGAAAGAGGGAGATGTATTCCCTCATCCTCTCCACAAGATAGCTCTCCCAGCACAGCAAGGCTACCAATGCCAGGGAAAAGCAGAAAGCCATTGCTCGTACAAACATGTTCCCAAGCTCAGTGAAATAAAGAGATAAGCAGCGTAGCCAACAAACTCTGTGATCGGCACAGAAGCTTGCTACTTAATAATTACTATAGCTATAGCATGCTTAATACAATACTGCCATTGTCTTGAGCCCCACACTGGGCACCAAAAAGAACTGTGGTGGGTTGACCTTGGCTGGATGCCAGGTGCCCACCAAGCCGCTCTATCACTCCCCTCCTCAGCAGGATGGGGGGCAGTAAATAAGATGGAAAAGAACTCATGGGTCAAGATAAAGGCAGTTTAATAAAGCAAAAGCAAAGCTGTGCGTAGAAGCAAGGGAAAACAAAAGATTTATTCTCTACTTCCCATCAGCAGGTGATGTCCAGCCAGTTCCCAGGAAGTAGAGCTTTAAGTGAGCAGAGTGGTTGCTCCAGAAGACAAACATCATAATAATGAATGCCTCCCCCCCACCCCCTGCCACCCCTTTCTCTTAGCTTTTATTGCTAAGCGGATGTCATATGGTATGGAAATTCCCTTTGGTCAGTTTGGATCAGCTGTCCTGGCTCTGTCCCCCCCCAGGATCTTGCCCACCCCCAGCCTACTGGGGGAGGGGGGGAAACATTGGAGAGACAGCCCTGATGCCATGGGAGCACTGCTCAGCAGTAGCCAAAACACCAGTGTTATCAACACCTTTCTAACTACCAATACAAAGCACAGCACTACAAGGGCAGCTAGGGGAAAAATTAACTCCATCTCAGCCAGACCCAATACAACTGTTTATTTAAAAAATTAAAAGAAATTTTAACAAAATCACGTCGAACAGTGAGGATCTGAAAAGCCAGGCAGCACTGGGGGCATCATAAAAAGAAATGCTCTGCAGGCCCCGACCAACCCAAGGGCTAGATGTGCAGACAAGCACCTCCAAGTGGACTGTAAGACCTTGTTCCACTTCTCTCATCCAAACAGTGGTACTGCTTTGTAAGCAGATGAGGTTGTAAATTGGAAACCTGAATCTCTTGTGCATCCCCACAAGATGCCCAGGCACCTGGAGGGCTCCGACGATGGTAAGCTTTTAAGAAGTTCCATTTGAGAGCAACCGTGGCTGCAGTCGCAGCTTGGAGGAAGCCACCTGCTTAGCTGCAACATAAAGAGTATGTCATAGCACAAGGTGTGTGTGACATACTGCATTTCTTCTTACCCAGAATCCTGCAGAGCTGTCCATTTTTTTCCCTTGTTGCCCTGTATCAGCACAGAACATCCTCTCTAGCCCAGAAGGAAGGGGGAATGAATACATGTATATCCACAGTCTAAGGAGGGTCACCTTTTGCTGGAACTTGGATCTCACTCCCTACCCCAATCCAAAATGCGAGAACAGGGCTAGCTCTGGAAGGACAGAGCCCTCTATGAGCTAGGACGCATGAGGCAATTAATAGATTGCAGGCTGATGATTTGCCTTCTGCATCTGAATGATCTTGCCAAAGCCACCTCTTCCCACATCGTAGTCTGTCCGGTACTCATCTCGCACCTGGGGCACAGCAGTAACACAGATATTAGTACCCTGCACTGTCTCATGCTAGGCTTCAGAATTATCATCCCCTCCCTGCTCAGTTGGTGGGGAACTGAAGTTCAGATTAGAAGCATTTTGACTCATTTGAAATCTCTTCAAATAATCCACCAAAAAGGTGGTAATGGTGGTGAAAATGACAACTGAGGATATATCTGATGGCTGAAGTCTTTTTAGACAAGAAGCAAAGAAGAGCCCAAAATATTTTGATTCAGCTTTGCAGTCCAGCTTTCTGAATTGCCAGAATGTTGTCTCCCCTCCACCCTCAGAATCTGCAAAGGAACCTCACCTTCGCACTGGGGCAAAATGCTGCGTTATGAGATTGGCCTAGCAGCTATGCTGTCCCCCTCCATTCAAATTCTGCATCATTTTAAGAGTACTAGCTTGGATTAGGGAACATTCTGCTTGCATTGCAGGAAGTTTGGAGTCCTAGACAGAAATGGCCTTAAGTTCTATTTCTAGCTTTTAACGCCAGACATCAGTTACCAAAACAACCTGGGAGTGGCTGAAGTTCATTATCGGGTCTTTACAGTCTGCACATTGTTCTGCATGAGACAAAACTAGCAAAACAGTACACAGTCTTAAGGGGATCAAATTCAAGGTATGAACTGGTATTGCCATTACCTGTCCTCCAGTCTTTCCTCTTCCATACTGTCGCCCCTCCTTAAACCCTGCATCCCAGTCAGTTCGAATGATGCGGTCATCTAGTCGTGTACCATTGATAAATCGCATTGCGTGTTCAGCGTCTGCTCTTGTGTAGTATCTGAAGCATACTATAAGGAGAACTATGTGTGCTATCTTGTTGGGTACAGGGAAAATAAAAAAGAGAACTATTTTATTTGAGAAGCAGAAAACCCCTGCCTTCCAGCCTTTTCTACTCTTCCTGCTTTTCTCCATGGGATCAAAAACTGCTTATATAAATCCAAGCTAAACCAGCTCCCACTCAGAAAGGATTCTGAACTTTAATGTTAGTACCTGCACAGACAAGAAGTAGCTTTGGATCACTTATTTCACAAGCAGATGAAACAAACACATTAAAGCCTTGCTAAGGGCAAGAAATCTGTAATATGCCTTTTTATACTACATAAACTTGACTGAATTTGAACAAGAGGGGCAGGCCTCACAGGAGTTTGCAAAGACAGCTCACAGTACAACTTGTACAAGCGTGTACCCTGTGCTTGGGAATACCGCCATGGCTTATTCTGCTACTTCATTCAGGTGTAAAGTTAAGGTAAGAAAGTGAACATGTGCTCTGGCCATGATTGTAACAGTTTTCATTTTGGCCCTAAAATAACTAAAGAAATGAACAAATTAAAGCAGCTCTCGGCCAACTCCAGAAAGTACAGCAGTGGTAGCACTTTTCACCCATGGCACCGCTGTACAATCTGTCTCTCAATTAAGATGGTGGGGAAGTAGCAAGGTTGGAAGGGAAGCACCTGGTAGAAAGCATTTGACTATCACTGCTTTTCAGGTTTTCAACAGCAGTACAACTAAGCTTGCTGTGCAAAGATGAACTAAAAGTGGCAACCACATATGCGCTGACAGTGGCAGGGAACCAGAAAGGATACTCGACAAAGCAAAAGCCACAGGGGGTCTTCTTGATCTTGTCCAACCCCATGACAATCCTCTTGACGTCTCCGCATTTGGAGAAGAGCTCCTGGATCTGCTCCTCGGTGGTGTAGAAGGACAAGTTGCCAACATACAGCGTAGAGGAAATTTTCAGGGATTTCTCCTGCAGCTGCCTGCTACCCTGAGGGCAGAGGGAGCACGCAGCAGGGTGAGCACGCCTGCCGCCCTGCTTCCGTCGCCAGGCCCCGGCGGGAACCTCCCGCCGCCCCGGAGATGCGGTGCCCTCCCGCTCGCCGGCTCCTCGCACGGCCTTGCCCCGGCAACAGCCCTCCTCCTCAGGCGCTGCTCCAGCCCGCCCTCCTCCCCGCCCCGGCCGGGCTCCGCGGCCTCGGGCCCCGCCGCCCTCACCCCCGCGCCTCGGGCCCGGCCGCCGGGCGCACCCGGAAGTGCTGGTCGCGGTACTGGCTGATCTCGCAGTAGGAGTCGCTGTTGAGCCCGCTCAGCGTGGTGTGAAGCAGCCCCGACATCTCGCCTCTGCCCGGCCGGGCCCTGCTCCCGGGATCCTTCCAGAAGCGCCGCGGCGCCCACCGGACGGCAAGCGGGGCAAACGGTCCGCCGCGCCGTCCGACTGGCCCCGGCGCCTGTCGCTCGGGGCGGGGAGGCGGGGCGATAGCCCCGGACAGCCAATCGACGCGCGGAGCCGCCGGCAACGCAGGGTTCGGCGCGGCCGTGGCGCCGGGCCCAGCATGCTCCGCGGCGGTGTGCGCGCGGGGCGGTCGGCGCGCATGCGCAGCGGCGCCTTTCCGTCCCTGCCGGTCTCGTCACGGTGTGCGGGTGGGGCTGTGGCGGCCATGGTGGGGGCGCGGCTGGCGGCGGTGCAAGGTACCGCCTGCCGCGGGCGAGGGTTCCCTTTCCCATGAGCGCCTGGGATCCGCCGCCTGCTGCTGGGCTGTATCTCACGCCTTCCTCTCGTCCTGTCTTACAGGGCTGGTGCGGGAGCTGCTGAAGGAGGAGGCCCTGTCCCGCATCGCCGCCCTCACCGAGGAGCTCTTCCAGGCGGCGGGGAGCATCTCTGAGGAGGATGGGAGCGCGGCTGAGGTGGAGCCCCGGCCTCCCGGCCCGGCGTCCCTCTCCAGCCCGTCTGAAGAAATGGGGCTTTCGTGTGCTTCACGCCACAGGGCTGCGCTCGCCCAGGTTGGCGGCTGCGGTTCCTGCAGCTCTGTGAGATGTGCTCTTGCTTCCCATCTAATGCAGTGAAGCTAAACGTTTACCTCTAGCGTTATTGGAATGTAAAGAAAATAGTTTATTTTTTCATCTTTCAACCCAATAGCATGAAAGTCCAAAATAAAGTGGAAAATCTTACATTTTAAGAGTCAGTGCAAAATGTTGATCCTAAATGTAGAAGTGTGCATCATAATGGGAAGAGTTACTGGTATCTTTAGTGATGTTCAGGTTTTTATTATTTCAGTTTTCTAGTATCTAATTCTAATGTCAAGTAAATATGCAAGCACAGGGTGCTGATGCATTAAAAGTTTGGTACTGGGTCAGAGAAGAGGTCCTTCTCATCCTGTACATGGATTCCGATAATGACAGTAGATACTTGAGGAAGAAGAAGAAAACAAGCATGTAATTTTAACTGCCTGGTAAACTCAGTGCATAATATTAGAGTGGGAAGTACTCATTTTCATACGTTATGAAAGTCAATTAGGTTGTTGTTTATAATGTTTTTAATTTTAGGTTTTTTCCTTCTGTGTATTTTTTCTAGAGGAGTACTTAAAAAGTGGTAAACGTCTACTCTAAAAGGCCTTTTTCAAAAAAAAGTCTGAGGAGTAATATATGAATCTGGAATAAAAACAAGACCAGCTGAGATATCGCACAACCTTTTCCTCCAGAATTACATTTTGAAGAGGGATTTAACACATAGTGATTATCACCTAAGGAAGACTAATTTTGAAAGTTGTAAATTTTTGACAAGGCGCAAGATAGGTTAGCAAGTGTCACAACAGGAAGTATGCTTAGTGCAGTCTGTAAAGAAATACAGGAGCATAAAACTGGTATCCTTCAGTTCTTCCTGAATCAGTTGGGCTAAAATATTTCTAAAGAAAGGAGAAATCATTAATTTGTAATTGATCTTTTCAATAAAAGGGGCTATAAAATGTCTCCTGGTTAGGCAAGAGCACATCTGTAGGCAAGATCTGCCATGGAAACTAGGATTTGAAGTGATGGAAAGTGCAACCCTTAAAGGTGGGTTGTTAAGGGAGCTTATTGCCTTTATGTAGGACTGCATCATCTTTTCAGCAAGTGTATGTAGTCAGTAGCCTTTGTTCTTTGTTGCTAATATCAGAAGTTTCCTGAAGTAGGTATTTAAAGTAATTGAGCTATTTAGTTTTCTTTTTGATAGGCAAAAGAAGTGAAGCCTTATTATAGATATGTTTTCAAACTTGATACAATTCTTACAGCTCTTTTCCAATCCCTTCAAATTTTTCAACGTCTGTTTAAAATGTACATAATGTATTCTGAAGGCTGCCAGTGAATCCGTTGTATTTTGGATATGGTGATGTGCTGTTGCACAAATTTTGTATCTGAGTGTTTTTAAGAAAACTTCATCCCAGATGGGTAGGGTAAGTGAGGTCACGTTTTGCTAAATTTGGAAAAGGACTTGATGGAAGCATAGGTTAGGACATTTCAGAAATATGGCAGATAATGGGATTTGTTTAGGAACATATTTGAATGTTTTTTAAGTCCACCACTTGCAGAATTTGCCATTATGCATAATTTCAAATTGGAGCTGAAGGCACTGATGGATGGTATGACGCATGTGTGCAATTGGTCATATGATTAATTAGTTCATTTTAGCTTTAGGTCTTGTCAGCCTTGGCTTTACACAGTCATGTTCTTTATTATCTTGCTTCGTCATAGAAGTGCTCTCATGGTTTTAGAAGATGTGAAATAGTCTTTATAAGAGTGAATATATCTTATGACATATATTTACGAAAAGAGTATGTGCTTCCTGCCAGCTGCTTATAATTCTTCTGAAATGATGGATCTATAGAAAGGAATGATCCGTACTTTTAGCTGAAAAAATGCGATGTGGTCCATTCAGCATGCCTGTTTTCAGGTCACTATCCCAGATCTCCCTGTGGGATCATATAACAGTTTCATGGAAAACTCACTCCTTTGACTCGAGTGTAAAAGGAAGTTGCACAAATATGTGGACAGGTCATTATTGTGATACACATGAAAGACAGTTCCTTTTCCAGAAGTAAATTTCAATGCGACCCAAATCCAGGACAAAATTAAATCTAATGGAATTCTCCTGCTCAGGTTGAAGAGGATGCAGTAAGCCTGTGGAACTGGACTGTGACCAAACACACAGGTTCCATTGTCAATGATGAGCAAAGAGCTAAACGTACGTATGTGTTCTGTACCTTCTTATGTGTGTTGTGTGCTGTAGCACGAAAAGGAAAAACTCTCTGCTGACAGGCATATACACAGCGCTGTAGATTTGTTTGGATCTTTGTAGATGGGGTGCAGACAGAGGAAAATATACAGCTGGGCTTGTATAAACAGTTCAGGAAGGAGCATCCTGGTGTAACAGTAGTCTCCTTGTGACACAGAATCACTGTAGGCGTTATTATCACTCCCCCTTTCCGTGCCAGAGCATCAGTAAAGAGGTGATGTGACCAAAGGAAGCTGTAATTTGCTTTCTAATGCTATGTTTTTAGTCTAGAAATGTGTGGAAATAACATAGATGTAAATTTTAGACTGTTGGTCACTTAATTTATATCAAGTGAGATTGTTTCCTTTAATGTAACTATCTCATCAATGTTTACATACAGAAAAACTCTAAATTCTCTTTGTACTTCCCTGCTTTAGCCAGGTACACAGCTGGTGGGTTTGCTTGGAGCCAGGAGCAGGGCTGGGATAAAGCAGAAGTGAGCTTTTTGTCTTTTCCCTCAACCTGTTCTTTATGTGGTTCTGCAGGATTGCAATATCTGGCCTACATTTTTGTCTTGAGGGATTATAGTCAAAATTATGTATAATCTGCATGATATAAATTATATCAGGTAAAGGGAAAAGGGTAAGTTTACAGAAAATAAGTAGTAATTGTAGAGTGTAATGTTCTCAGATCTTGTATCACAGCTGAAGGGCCAGGGAGAGGCTATTTTAAATACATTAAGTGGTGTCTTTTCCATCCCTGATGTATAAGGAAGGCCTGAAAATATTTTTGCTTTTTACTTTGAAAATGTAAAGATATTAAACTTCATTTCCCTGTTTCGCTGAAGGCTATTTTGAGGCTCTCAAGACATGTTACTGTAAGCACCTGCAATGTAATTAAGTCTTTGAATACCATGTATTTAACTTAAACTCTCTCTAAAGTGTTTAATAGGTATTTTGATGAGAGTATGTTTTGTTTTCTTACTGCCTGAAATGCAGTTTTAAGCAGCTTGGCTAAAATTCAGACTGCTTTGACTCCTGAAGTTGTCAAATTTTTCTCTCTTATAATTTAAAATGGCAAGCAGTCTTTCAGATATGGCAGGGTCTGACTTTCTTAAAAAAAAAAAAAGAAAATGGAACTTAGGAATGTCTGCACTGTTTTCTTGCAGTACGGTTTGTTGCTTGCAGACTGGTGTGCCTTTGTGAAGGCAGTGATCCTCCGGAGGGAACTATTCGAAGACAGATTTTGGTAAGGCTAATGGTGGGTGAGCAATGAAGTACAGTTGATCACCAAGGGAAACCTTTAAACTCTTTGCTTTGGAAAGGGAGTGAAATATACCTGTAGTTCTGTGGAATACACACGCTGAAGGGGGACCTGTGTTATCACAGGGATACCTTGCTGAGCCAGTGCAGTTAGGAATTTCCAGACAGTGTAGTAAACATCACATCTTTGTCATATGGTAAAATGTTATATGAGGAGCATATTCATTTATTTCAGTATCTTACATTATTATCTAGTAGAGCACTGTAAGTCTCATGCTGCATCTAAGCGTTAAGGACTTCAGACATGAGAGGTGCTTGTCAGAAATTGAAGAGCTGAAATACCGTTCCCCTACATTAGATATGTGCATCAAAGAGATGAGATCGAACATTGCCTTTCTTGAAAGTGACTATATTTTCACGAAAAACTTTCATTTTCTCCTTCAGATGTCTATGAAAACTGGGAAAGGATGGATAGATATTGGAAAAGCTGATCTTGCTGATGGATTTCTAGAGATTGCCATGAGTGTAAGTTCTTTTCCAGTTCTAATTTCTTATAAACACACCTATTTGTAAGTTCCATGGGCGATGCCTACGCTTTGTTTTCCAGAGTATAGAAAAACTGTATGCGAAGTTACTTAAAGGGAGCGATGGTGAAGCAGATATCCATGTGCACAAAGCTGATGTGGAGAAGAACCTCTTCAAAGTACTCTCTTATCAGGCTGAATCAGTATGTGTTCTTCCCAGTTTACCTTATAAGTCACTAAAGGTATAGAGGGAAACTCTGACCCAGTTGTTAGATGTATGAATGCTTGGCATTGAGGACTTGCTGAAGGATGTATTTTCTTTGCTTAGATGTGAGATAGTAGATCTTGTGTTTGCATTCAGTGTTGCAATCATTTAATGATTTTTAATTTGCCTAATTTATC